AAATATATGCTAAAAATAACATGTTTCTCATTTCCTTTAGGTACTGCGTGAGGGGTATGGATTACGACAAGAATCCAAGATTCAATGTCGCACTCTACCGGAATCTGTTGGATCACTTAGGCCCAGATGACGTACGTCGTAGCTTTTCACTTTTGTTCATTTTAATTATTTATACATTACTTTTGCGCTAACCTGATTTAAATTTTATCGCAGTTCGTCTGGAGACCATATTTGGGTTTGGGCCATTCTCCAAACCCAGAGGATGCAGCAACTTGGACTGCAAAGACTGCACTCATTCGGTTCAACATTGTGGAGATGCACCACAGCGACCGTGTGAAGATGCAGTTTGGAATCCATCAAGAGATACCAAGTGATCCAACAGATTTGTCCCCCTGGCATCTAAAAAGGGTCGACGCCCAGTGGGGTCTTACCAACTGGAAAGACTTTGCTCCGGAATGGTGTAAAATGTGGCAAAGGCGTCACCGCTACATCTTGCAATCCCCGGTTTTCCTTACTCAAGGTAACATGCGACACACTGGTCAATATATGTCGTGGTACAGGTCGGTTAGTAACCCAGAAATGCACGTGTCTCATCCGAGGTACTTGGTTGACCCACGCACACAATGGGCACAACCCTCGATTCCCCATCAACAAACCCAAAATACATCAACCTCAAACCAACCCCCAAGAAGAAACAGACCAACAAACACACAACCACATTCCCCACCACAACACAACTACAATCAAATGTCGTACTACCAACCACAATCACCACCAAACTACCAATACCCGGATATGCCTCAAACCCAACCACAATACCAACCCCAATACCAGCACACCCACATACCCCATACACAATTTCAGTCTTCCACATATCCCAATATAGCGCCCTCAACATCCAGCCTTAGCCCTGATATGGGAATGTCATAAGATTATTACCAAGCCGACCAAACCTACCATCAACCACCATATCACCAAACAAACCAACATCCACAATACCAAACACCCCATGATCCATTTCCTTTCTACCCCCCATACTCAGACGACCAATGCTACCGACCAACCATGGAACCCCACCCACCGCCAACACGACCAAACTTTGAGGGTATGGGTAACCGACTGTACCAGAGCGGATCTTCGAGATATGGAGATCTTACTGATTTTATGGATTCGGATCGCATTGACTTCGCTGGGCCATCGACCTTTCCGCAGCAGGAAACGCGACGGCACCCAGCAAGAGAAAGGCGAGGACGGGGATGCGGAATCGGGGGTCATTACCGGGTTCCGGGGGATCACTGATGTATCTTTTTTTTTCCCAGTATTTTTTGTATCCATTTTTTTTACTGTTCTTTTAATGTAAAACAGTTGAATGTAATTATTTTTTTTTAAATAAAAAATCCATTTTGTTGATCTCTGTCTAATACACAACGCACAGGAAAGAAAATAAAAAAAAAATTTTTTGCCCTAAATTTGTACATAGGCGCCATCTCACTTGGCTTAGGGCATGCCCTAAGCACTTAGGCGCCAAGTGAGATGGCGCCTCCCTTAAAAAAGGAGGTGCATGCGCCAATTGAGATGGCTCCTCCTTTGTGGAGCCATCTCAAACATGGTTATTTGAGTAATTTTTTCCGAAACCCAGTTATTTACGAAATATTATTTTAATACATTGTTATTAATAAAAAAAATTCACGAAAGGCAGACCAGCCAATCTACATCCTCAAGTTTAAGAATATTGAACAGGGGCAGCTGTTGTACCCCAAAGTTATCCCTCTCATCTTACTCAACATATGCTCATTGAGATCATCAACTTGCTCAAGGATGCCCAAGAGTTGACCAGACAAACTCTCTCCTAAAGCAATGAACCTCCAAAAAGGGTTTCCATTTTCATCAAGATGGGTGAGCTCCAAAGGCCTCATATGCTCTCCATAGTCCTAATATGTTCTCAAGACCATCCATGTAAATTTTCATGCCTTGCACAAAAAGTTTGCTCGGTCAACTGCTCAGATGCTTGAAAATCAACTATATCAGGTCAAAAGTCAACTCTGGCCCACATACAGTCAAACTTCAAGATTTTTGGTCAACATAAACATTTTGAAGTTATATCCATCATTTTATCAAGGGTTGATCATGATTCCCTAAGGAATGCTCCTAATTCATCAAAACTCAAAAGTTGCTAAATTAGGGTTTCTTAGGAAAAGTCAACCCAACTTTGACTAGGCATAACTTTCTAGTACTTTATCATAAATTTCCCATACAAGGATATTTTTGAAGATAATTCAATTCCCTACAACTCATATTCATCCCTCAAGTTCAAGAAATGCACTCATGAAAAGATATAAATTCATACATTATAGGTCCTTTTCAAAAGTCAACAAAACACCTTTTGGGTCAAAACTTCTTACATGAACATGGAGGATCCAATTGAGATCAAAACAAAAGGGTTGTTTAGAGGACATCCTAAGCTTTCTAAAAAGTACAAGAACACCCCCTTAGGGTCAAAATTGAAGGAGATATGCATTGTCAAAGTTGGCCATTTTTGGAAAATTGTCAAAAGTCAACAATGCCCAAAATTGCATTTTTGTCAAATGGACCTAACTTTTTATGCTTGCATCTTACTTCTAGCATGGTCCATGACCCAAACACCTTTCCATGTATTATTGGCTTTATTTATTTTATTTATTTTGATTTTAATAATTTAAAAATTCAAATTAAATCAAATAAATAATCAAAATAATAAAAGATTTTATTGCAAATCTTTTTCTCATCAAATAACAATCAACAAAAGCTGGAAAATCAAGGAAAATTCGTGGAGAGAGAGTAAGAGTGAGTTTGTTACAAAAATAAACAAAAATCAAATAATTGAAGGAAGAATATTTTTCATCAAAGCATTGGATTTGTTTCCACTTATGTTGACCTAATGTGCTACAATATATAACCACAACAATCCCAGACCTAAAGGACACGGGAAGGCTGCCTCCAAACCAAGAACAAAGTTTCAAAAATGTTCAAGTTTAGTGCAATTTGAGATCTCATGATCCAGCCATTCTCCATTGATTCTAAGCCTCTAATCGTACTCCTGCAGCATCAAGGGACTCAACCCAACTCCTGAGAAATCCTATAGCATCAAAAATCAGCAAATTCGTTCCTCACTTTTGGGTAAGATTTCTTTGATCTTAAACTTGAACAATGCCTAATTTAAATCCATATCGACTGCATACATGTGTTTCTACTAATGATTGTGAGTGTTTGAACGTATAACATGTGAAGCTAACAACCGAAATCACCCTTTGCCATTAACGACCGTGGTTTCACGTTTTTTCTCATAGTGATGTTTGCAAGCGGTTTCAGGGTAAGAGGAGGTCACCATTGGATCCACAACCCTCGAGTTAGGGGGTAGGGGCCAACTAATTGTTGTTGTTGCAGGTTTGCGTGAATGGGGATGGAGGAGATGGCCAAAGAAGACGACCAGAGCTAGGGCTCCGACGCTTCTCTGGTGAGTCAAAGCTGAAGGAAGTTTGAGTGTTGTTGTGGAAATTCCTTATAACATGATTGGCTCTTGAAATGCTGGCGCGTTTATTTTTTGCTGACTGGGATTTAATGGTTTGCTTAATATATAATATTTTTGAGTGATTATGTTCATGAGTTAACATCCAACATAATTGGCAAGGGAAGTGAACGTGTGAAAGGGAGGATCTGGGTTCGATCCCCGGTCCAGACCTTTTATATTTTCTGAGTTTCTTATTTTAGATCCAGCGCACCTCACTATCTAGTGTCCATCATATGCCCAAGATACAAAACCATCAGATCTATCTCCAGCCAGATCCAACGGTCCAAGATTGCAGCCACATGATGGACCCTCAGAAGGAAGCTTCATTGAATCACACGTTGGACAAACTGGGCCATCATCTTGGTGTAATACCCCAAATTTGTCCTACCCTTCTACTTTTATCTGGTTTACGCATTGTCGCACTTTTCTCATGTACATATTTCCATTAGGTCATTTAACATTGCATACATTCGCTAACAACATAACTTCGCAAGGGGTCGAGAACCTTCAGGGTTAGGGTTTTATCAACTGGCTAAGGTGTATATGTTCAAATAGAGCCTGATTCTTCTGGTTATTTTTCAAGGAAATGAAGTTGCGGAATTAGGGTTTTGTGTTCATGGATATTGTGGATCTTTTCTTCATCAAGCTACAAGGTCATCCTCCATCAAGAATTCATCCAGAGCAAAGTACATTAGGGTTTTTACCTATGGTATTTGGTGTCTCATCAAGGTTGTAGTTGAGGTTATTTTGAACCGGGATTTTGGCTTAAGCTATCTTTCTCCTCATTGAGTATCCAATGCCGGAGAATTTGGGATTCAAAGCACAAATTTTGTCGATCATCAAGTAAATACGTAATACTAGGATGATGTTGCGAATTCACTAAGATTAAGGCATTATTGGTTCTCTCGTTTCTTGTTTTCATTATGGTGAAAGTATTCGTTCAAGTGATTATTTGGGGTCATGAGTTCAAGTGGTTCGAATTTGTTAAATTGGACCAATATTTTAAGAGGCAAAGCGTATTGAGTTTGGAAAGTCCATCCACGTGGATTCCTTGGAATTCAAGTCACTTCGAAGGAGAAAGCACACCATGTTCATCCATGATCAAGATTTTGGATTTCAAATAAAAGTCTTTCTTTATGTCATCTTTGAGTTTATCTCGTAAGGCATCCATAAAAAAGGTTTGATATCATATGTTTCATTCAAGTTGCAAATGAAGAGAAGCATTGGGAGCTCTTAGTTCTATTTGAAGAGAACTTGATTTTGGATAGGAGATTGAATATTTGGAATTGCCAAATTAATATTGCATTCAAGAACATTTAAGTTTCATTCAAATTTCAACCAAGTATTAAAAGAGGGTTCAAAGCCATTTCTTTAGAATATTCATCATGAAAGTGGAAGCAAACTTCTTTACAAAGCAAAAGAATTCATATTTTACGTTACATTCAATCATACATTACAAATACCCAACACCATTTACAATATCCAAAAATATACTACAAAAATAAGAAATACACTTAAAGGTGCATATATTGATTCTCATCATCGCTTTTTGTGTGGCCTTGTCGTGTTTGAAATGAAACCTTGTTGCTTCCATCTTCATTACCTTCTTCATGACCAAACCGGCGTATTGTAACTTGCCATGATCTATGCCTTTTGTTTCAATCCAAAGCAATCCTGAACATTTACACAACAAAAAGAAACAGTTATTATCAATTCCAAAACAATCCTGCTGTAACTGTTAACAGAATAACAAACTCTAACTGCCATATAACCAAGCCTGTAACAGAAACTCCTTAACCATAACACCTCCTAACCATTTCCCATCTCCTAACCATTTTTCCATTCCCTAACCATTTTCTAAAGCACTCATAACACATACGCAGTCTTTAACAAAACCACAAGCCTAAAAAGAGCATAACTGAAAATCCAAATGTATTTGTTCATTCCACCCTACCACATCATATCTTTCCGCATGCTGTTAATTTATTATTAATATTTTAATAGAAGTAAAAGAAGTACCACTGCCCAGATCATGTAAATCCTGCAGAATTTTTGACCGATCTTATATGCATAGACTACAGTTCTTCTGTAAGTGTCCATTTTTCTAAAAAAGGGATTGATGGGCTTGTTGAGTCCCTGTCACAAAAACTATCCACAATAATATATGCAACTCCAATAAACAAAGGGGACCTCTCAAAAACAGAATTCACTACCAATAAACAAAAACATTTCCTAACTATTGTAATTGTCAAACAACCTGACCATTCTGCCTAACTCTTCCAACCAAACCTAACAGAATTCACTAACCTAACCAATTCATAACAACCCTTAACTGTCAAACAGAACTAGTAACAAATTTCAACAGAATTTAACTAACTATAACTAACAGCTAACAAACTCTCTAAGAAAAACTTCCAGCATAACAGAATCGTAACAGAAAGGATGGAAGAAGATAACAGAAAGAGGAGAGAAAAAGGTGATTCACGCTTCATTATTTCATTCACCAGAAATAGTCATAAAAAATTAGAGACTAACCTTTCAACCTGCATTTTCTCAAACTCCATTCTCTCCCTGAAACTTCCATCGTTCCCTCTCTCTATGCAAATCACAATCAAGCTTTCTTCTCTTCCGCACCTTACATCTTCATCTTCATCATTCTTAAATTCTCTGAATAATCACCACCAAAAGCTCTAAAATCCTCTCTGAAATCTCTCTCTGAATCTATGCTTCAGTGTCACTTCAACACATAATTCTTCACATCTCTCTGAGACCCTTCACGAAAAAATCTTCATTGCTTATCTGTAAATCATCATCTTCATCTTCTAAGATCTTCAATCTTTGAGCACATCATCTCCAAGCTTCCGCGTTGACGCATCTTCCTCTAACACCAGAACATCACTACATCAACAAATCATCGCAATTTCAACGAGCTTCATCCTGCAGTCAACAACAATAATACACATCACACGACTTGAAACGCGGAAACGAAAATAGAAGAAGATTCGAGGAAGAAGATTCGTAATCTTCAACATAAGAAGAGAAATAAGAAACATACCTCTGATTATCTCGTCATTCTCGTCACTACGAAGAAGCCGCTGGAGCATCTCTGGTAGGTCAGCTCCTGTATCTTCTTTTCTTCATCATTTTTTACGATTCGTGAGAGGTTCGAATAGAGAGTAAATCGGAAGTCTGAGGTTAAAACGTGATGGTGATGAACGTTGCTAAGGAGTCATACTTGAAGCAAGATCGGATGAAACAACAGTGAGTGGAGGTTTGTTTGGTTACCGGCGTCGACGATGAAAAGTGCAACGGAGGTAAACGGTGGGTTTATGACGCGAATCGAAGCGGAGATACAGATTGAGGGAGACGGAGGTCGCCGGAGTTGAAAGGTTGAGGCGAAGAAGAAGACGGCAGAAGGGATATGTGCGTCGCGAGAGAGGAAGGGAAGTGAGAAGCTCATACGTCACAATTTCTAACCCTATTCCCATTTCAATTTCAATTTTCTCATTTTCGTTTTTATTTTTTCTAATAATTATGAATATAAATTGTTAATTGGAAATATGCTGAAAAATAGAAATTAATATTGATTGCATTAGACCGGGCCTCACATCTTTGTTTTAGGCCCGTGTTATTGTTTTTTAAGCTTGAAGAAATTGAACAAAAAATCCTTTTGGGCTCAATCTGGATGGCCCTTGCGCCCAGGCTACACTACTGCCCCAGGATTCAATTCTCACCCCCTATTTCTTTTACTTTCTTTTATATTTTTTAAATACCTTCTTTCATGTTTTGTTCTCTTAACAAGAATACATATAAAAAAATATTTAAACATATATTAGAAGGCACTCTAGAAATTAATTAGAAATATATTTCTTTTTTTCCTTTGTTTCGCTAACTTTTAGTCGATTTTATTCGTTAGTTTTGTTCATTTTTATATCATGTGTTTCATTTGCGATTTTCGGTAAGGATCGTATGCAATACTTTAAATACTCGTTGCTTAGTTTTACTTGTTTGTATAGTCTTTCATGATCCCTTTGGTGACTTTGGTTCAAATTTAATCTTCGATCTAATTGAACTAAATTAACATTTGGCTCCTAAATCCAAACATGCTAACATTAGGTAGAATTCCCTCATTCATCCTTGACTTAGGTCTAACAACGCACGATAACATTAGGTTTAGAAATAGGCTAATCCCCCTTTAACTTTTCTTTCCATTTTGCATACGCACCTAAAACTAAAACTTCTTTTTTTCTCTCAAAATTCAAAACACTTTAAAACTATTAATGAGAGTCATGCCTTTGCTTAGGTTTGGTTCAATTCTCAAAGACTCCTTTCATAGCTAAGTAGAAAAATGGCTAATATCTCTCTCTTGAGGTCGACTAGTCGTTATCTGCAACGAAAATACAAAACAAATTCAAACCATTTTGTGCATTCAAGCACCTTTCTTAAAAAACCCTTTTCAGGTAAGGACACGATTAATTTACTTCTATTCCAGCGCATAAGTCTCCAAAGGTCGAGCTGCGGCAGAAGGCGGAATTAACTTCGTCCATAAAAAACACAAACAAACAAAAACATATAAGCCAAACTACGGTAGCTCTGATTCCTCAAAACGGATACGTAGGCATTGGGGTAGGGCCCAAGCGAGCACAATTTTATTTTCCCTACATTTTCCCCCCTTTCTTTTGCATGCATTCCCTTCAGTAGCAGTAATGAACAGTAAGCATAGACTAAACACACCCATAAGATAGACAATAAGAGTGGATACCGTAGAGTACTACGGGCATGTGGGGTGCTAATACCTTCCCCTCGCGTAATAGAATCCCTTATCCGATCTCTCGTTCGCAAGACCGTGACTTCTCCCTTCTCAGGTTTTCTCAATGTTTACCTTTCCCTACATGTGGGATAAAAGACGTTCGATGGCGACTTCATTGTTTGATGATTTTCAGCCGGTTGTTTCACTTGGGCCTAAAACCAAATTCAATGCATAGCTCCCAATTCGCCTAACCACAACAGGCCCACTATTATTCTTTTTTTTCTTTAATATTCTTTATTGTTTATTTATTTTTGATTGTTTTAAAAAAGGTATTTTTTAATTAAATCAGAAAATCAGAAAATCACTAAAAAATATTAAGTTTAGCTTTTTTCATAAAATATTTATTTGCCTTAATTAATTAGGTTAATTAGGTTAATTTGAATTCTTTTTTCCATAATTAAAATTAAATAGAAGTTAGGTAAATTTGCAAAGTTAATTATTTTTTCTCTCATAAAAATCCAAAAAAATACTTTTCTTTATTCACCAACTAATTGTTTCTGAATTTAAATCCCCGTTTAATTTACTCTCGCGCGTATTTATTTCATTATTTTTACCATTAATGTAATTGCTCCGAGTTTGTAATAGTTAATTAGGTTTACTATTTCGCATTTACTATTTTCCCCGTTTTTTTTATTATGTAATCCCCCTCCCCAAGGCCTTGTAATAGGTAGGGTTTTAATTTCTCGCACTTTACTTTCCGTAATTATAAACTGCCTAGATGTATGGATAATAGGATTAAAACGGTAGATAACCCTAAATGCGCAAGATAAATGAAACTGAAATCAAACACTTGCACATGCTCACTCCTAGGGTTTTGCCTCACTTGGTTTCCTCAGAAATAATGGTCGTGTCCCTCGAACGTAGGGATATCTTAGCAATGACCCGCAATTCAAAGTTGTCATAAAGATCATAGTCCCTCATTGTCCCTCAAGTTTCCTAGGAGAAATGATCTTATGACGATAGTCCCTTCGAAATGCTAAGGTATCCTTACTTGTTGCCTTCAGTGACCATTTCGTCACTTTCGAATGTCCCTTAAAATCCAACGATGGAGCAACCTACTCCTTAATAGTAGGATAGCACTGTCTAAAGGAAAATGAACAGACTTTTTTTCGAGTAGGTAGATAGTTCCCAGGTACTTGCTCAACCAAACAAATTTCACACAAACACTTTCAAAACAGTTTTCAAAAACAACTTCGTCACACTCTTGAGGACAGATACAAGGGTTATTACGAAGTAAACAAAACTTTTCAAAACAAGCACACACAAGAAATTTTAAAAATGAGCAAGTACCTAAGATCCCATGGAAAACCATGGATAGAAAGGGTGCTAACACCTTCCCTTTCTATAATCTATCCCCCGTACTTAGAAACATCTCAAAAAAGGTTTTTTTTGTTCTTTTTCCTTTTCCTTTGTTGGATGAAATAAAAGTCGGTGGCGACTCTTACTTACCGCGACATTTGCGAATAAAAACGCAAACCAGTATTAACAGTCGGTTCTGCCACCGTATCACACCCCACATTGTGAATGGCCATGGAGCAGTCATGACATTTAAAGATATTGGAGACACGTGAATATTGTCAGCATAAATTCGACACTTATGGAAAGTCCTCAAGTTGTGGTGGCCATTAGTTTCCATAGTCGACCAATAGTAACCAGCCCTCAGAATCTTCTTGGCCATAGTGTGTCCACTGGAATGAGTTCCGAAGATACCTTCATGTATGTCTTTCATAAGTTTTTCTGCTTTCTTCTTGTCCATACAGCGGAGCAAAGTTGAATCATGGTTTCGCTTGTAAAAAATTACATTGCTTAGGAAGAACTTGGCTGAGAACCTCCGCAGGAATTTCTTGTCGTTGACTGAAGCTCCTTCAAGATATTCTTGAACTACGAGATATCTTTTTACCTCGTAAAACCAAAGCTTCTCCTTATCTGTGTCAATCTCACAACAGTGTGCCGGTTCGTCGAATCTTTCGATTGTAATTCTTGGAGTTTGTTGTCCTGATTGACCTATAACATAGATGACACAGTTGCTAAGGCATCCGCCAACTAATTTTCTTCCCTTGGAATGTGTTAAAAGTTGACCTCCTCAAAGTAAGGGATCAAGGTGAGCACAAGCTCTTTGTAAGTGATGAGATTTGGATGTTTGGTATTCCAATCTCCTTTAACTTGACTCATCACCAAGGCTGAGTCTCCGTACACGCTTAAGAATTTGATTCTTAGTTCGATGGCAGCCTTAAGACCCAAGATGCATGCTTCATATTCAACCATGTTGTTGGTACAATTGAAGCAGGGTATGGCAGTGAAAGGTGTATGGAAACCTTCGGGAAAAATTATCACAGCACCAATTCCGTTACCCAATGTATTGGAAGCTCCATCAATAACCATAGTCCATCAGGATACTTGTTCAGGTCCTTCATATGGTCCAGGCTTTTCACAGTCAGTTATCAACATGATATTCTCGTCCGGGAATTCAAAGTTCATGGATTGGTAATCATTAACATGTTGAAGCGCAAAATGATCTGCAAGTATGCTTTATTTGATTTCTTTTTGTGTAGTGTACTAGACGTCATATACAGTCAAGATCATTTGCCATTGGGCTATTCGTCCGGACAGAGCTGGCTTCTCAAATATGTACTTAATGGGATCCATCTTAGAGATCAAGAGAGTAGTATGAGTCAATATATACTGTCTTAGTCGGCTCGCAGCCCATGCCAAAGCGCAGCAAGTTTTCTCGAGTAGTGAATATCTTGTTTCACAATCGGTAAACCTTTTGCTAAGGTAGTATATAGCATGCTCTTTTCGACAAGACTCATCATGTTATCCCAGCACACACCCCATTGAATTCTCTAATACAGTCAAGTACATGATCAAAGGTTTTCCTTCAACTGGAGGCATTAGGATTAAAGGTTCTTGTAAATACTCATTGATCTTGTCAAAAGCTGTTTGGCAGTCGTCATTCCATCTGGCTACCTGATCTTTCTTCAGCAGTTTAAAGATTGGCTCACAAGTAGCAGTTAAGTGAGAGATGAATTGGGAAATGTAGTTTAGTCGACCTAATAAACCTCTGACCTCCTTCTCAGTACATGGAGTTGGAATCTCTTGTATGGCTTTGACTTTTACAGGATCGACTTAAATATCTTTCCCACTGATGAAAAATCCTAGGAGTTTTCTAGACCTCACCCAAAGGTGCATTTGTTGGGATTCAGCATCAGCTTGTATTTCTTCAACCTTTCAAATAGCTTGTGCAAGTGATCAAGGTATTCTTCCTCAGTCTGCGATCTTGCAATCATGTCATCGACATAGACTTCTATCTCATGATGAATCATATCATGAAATAGAGCTACCATAGCCCATTGATAGGTTGCGTCTGCATTCTTTAGCCCAAATGGCATGACCTTATAGCAGAAGGTTCCCCCACTGTGTAACAAAAGTGGTTTTCTCCATGTCTTCAGGCGCCATTTTGATTTGGTTGTAACCCTAGAATCCATCCATGAAGGAGAACAATTTATGTTGAGTAGTGATGTCAACCAAGACATTGATATGTGGTAGAGGAAAGTCTTCTTTGGGGCTAGCCCTATTTAAATCACTATAGTCTACATACATACAAACCTTTCCATCTTTCTTCAAAAATAGAACAACATTTGCAACCCATT